ATTGTTTTATATCTTTGGATATAGAGCTGATCTTTATTGGATATTTAATTGGCCTTTATAAGTGGCTGCTTAATCTACTTTGCAGAGTAAACCAGTTGTTAAATATTTCCGGCAATTTTTTATTGAGCCATCTGTGCATAAAAAGACATTATTCAATTTTAATATATCAAAGATGATATTAATTTGGTTTAAAGTTTGTATGCAGTTATACAATACTAAGTTATACAAACTATTGTATAACTTATTTGTTATATTTGTGGTTTTGGTTTTGCCTGTTTTTAATTTAAATTGTTTTTGTTTTAGAATATAGAGTGGGTAATTTGAGGTAATAGTAATATATAATAATTCATCATTTGGTTTTTTGAAAGACTTTTATGAATTTTCAGAAAAGAAAAAATCTAACAAAAAAAAAATTTAACAAAAAAAAAAATCTAATAGCCATCAGTTTCAGAAAGGTTAAGTGTGGCATCAAGAAAATTTACAGTTTTTAAAATTATGATTATTTTGATTCAAAAGCCAATATTTAAAAACATTTTTATAATATCTTTTCTACTTTTATCGAGCTGTGGATCAGATTTTTTACACATTACTATTGTCACATTAAAGGCTTAAATCACTATTATTGACTATTTACCTAAGAAATCTAAAATATATAGTCCAACAAATTCACAAATGTATGCTCCATCATAACTGTCTATTGTTACATCAAAGCAGTGATATATGTATTTATTTTTCCAAGTTCCTTTTTTAAAATTAAAGTAACGTTTTACTGCAGTGTTTTATTATATCGATTGTCTCTTCTGGAATAACTGTGTCGCTTTTCACAAATTTATTACTGATGAGTCTTTATTGATAAAACACAGCGTAAAATGAAAAAAATTTTTAATAAGTGATTTTCTACTAGTATGGACCAAAGCGGGAAAGCGGAGGAATATATTTGAGGTAACTTCCTCTCTTCCCTCCTCCCTATTAAAACTGTTGACAATGATTTTTAAATATCATTTTGTTGGTTTTCACCTTGTATATTTTTATCTGAAGATAAGAAGTTAATTTAGCATAGTGTAAAAGACATTTGAATACATGAATTTACCGTGGAGCACATGCAAAGCATAAAGGTTTTGTAAATGTAATTGTTATTATTTTTATTTGATTTGAATATTAGAAATTCAATTTAACTTTTACTAAAGGTTGATAAATTTCACAGTGCTTTAAGGTGCCTTTTAAATAAAAGAGATAACTATGTTAAACTTAATGATTTTAAAATATATATGTAATAAAAAAAATTGCATACATTAAATAAGTTAAATTACCTATAGAATTTTTTAAGCACTAAAGACATTTAGGTTTAAAAATTACTAAAATTTAATACAGCTTTTATTGAAATTATTTTATCATTATTTTAGTTATTAATAATAATTAAAATAGTACTGTTTCTCTTCATCAAAATCTTCAAAAGATACTTATATTTATTTTTTAACTTAAATTAATGAAAAATTATTTATTTTGATTTCGTTTTCTTAACATAAAATCTCTTCATATTCTTTTTGACTTCCGTAATATTTTATTATGGAAGTCAAAAGAATATGAAGAGAAAGAGTACTTTTTGATAAATTATATGTTTCGATTTTTCATTTTCGTAACATAAAATAAAATAGCGAGCTAAATATCAAAAGTTTATTCAAAAATTAAATTTGCATTACAGCTATAATCAGATGCAAATATATACGATAAGCTGTTTTTAGATGTTTTTATCTTTGAAGTTTTGAAAACTATTTTCATAATTTTAGTTTCTAACTTTAGAACTTGTTGATTTTAATATTTGCTTCAGTTCATTGGAAAATAATTTAGAATCTAATCAACTATTAAACAGACAAGTTTCTTTTAGCATTGCAAAATTTTATAGCTAGTAATCAAGCAAAACAGGAAATACGCGGAAACTGAATAAACCAAAATTTTGAGTATACAAGTTCAATACCAAAACTGAAACTGACATTTTGGCAAACATTTTAACACAACTAAAACCAAAATTTTGGCTAAACAAAATTAATCTCTCTAGAAAATGTTATCTAAAAATGCAGTTTTACTAAAAATGTTGTACATTTAGAATTTTTTTTTTTTTTTCTGATTCATCTGCCAACCATTTTCCAATCCAATGTATAGTTTCAAGATTTCCCCTGCAGTCGAATGTCCAAACCATTAAATAAACACTAACATTGTAATAAAAATATAATATAAACAACTCAAATAAAATAATATTTAAGATATAAAAACTCTTGAAGAGTCTATAAAATCTGCATATAAAAAGATTGAGCAACTTATCTGATATTAGTTTAATTACCCATGGAAAAAAAAAAAGGTTTTTATTTTTACATTTTATATTTATCTTGTCAAAACAGGTTTTATAAAGTTTTTTTTTTTCATAAAATCCATTAAATAATAGTTCGAAATGTAATGAATTTAAGATTATGTCATCAATTTAAATAGTAAACAAAAGTTGTAAACAAACACAAAAAAGTATAAAAATATGTAGCTTAACATGTTTGAAAATTGATAACATAGCTAGAGATACAAAACATAATTTTTTAACTTTTATGTGCAGAGTTTAATTATTAATAGTCTTGTGATCATCACAAAAAGATTAAATTTCGTTATCATTACAAAGTGATTGCTTTATGCATTTAACAGTTTAAAAAAAAGAACATAAAACATTAAAAACAAAATTTTTTGTAAGAAAATCTTCGACAATCACCAAAAATGAGATAAAATCAGCATCCATTAGTTTTTCAAATCTTAACCATTAGGAATAAAATTTATTTTTAAATTTTGGTTTGCCTAAATACTAATTTTTCATTTAAATTGCAAAAAAACAGAAAAATGATCCTAATTTAGTAGCAATGGTTTAACAACTTTTATTCTGCATAATTTATTTACTGTATTCTGCATAATGTATATATTTATTTAACAAGGAAAGATAAATCTTTTCTGTTTATTTGAAAATTTAAGCATTAGTAGAAAAAAAAATATATATATTTTTATATGTGGAAACATATAAAGTAATTTTTTAACATAAGTGCTTTAAAATTCTCTTTCCTTTTTATTTTTTGTTGATTATGATGCCCTCATGAAGTTAAACTGTGTTTTAACACTGGTTAACTCCAAGAAGGGCATCTACATGTAAACAATTTGCTTTAACTTCTCCATATCACATTTATATATAAAAAAATGTCATTATAAAAACAAGTTTATTATCATTTAAACTATTTGTGATTGACTTTTAAAGATTGACACGAATTAGTAAAAGCCTCACAGTTTCAAAAATATAAAAGGAAGGGGGGATTAAATATATTTTGATTTAGGAAGAGGCGATTTAAAAGCCTCACAGTTTCTTCAAAAATTCATTAAAGCTATCATCAGATTTGAATTTAGTTTATTTTTTGAGGATTGCAAATAGTGGCTTTCTTTTTTGGCAAAAAAATAGCTTATGAAGTTCTTTCAACATGATTCCAAAGTTTTGAAATCTGTATTAAATATTTATAGCATCTTGAGGTTCAAAGTTTTTGGACTCTCAAGATAAGCTTTTAGCATTTCAGTATCTAGAGATTTATCATTATGATATATACATAAGTATTTGCATTAAAGTAAGTGGCAAAGCAAACCTGAGATATTCTTACTGAATATCTCAGGCTCAAGATGGTTTAACCAAGGAGATTACTTTAGATTGAAGACCATATAAAGTTTTGTCTTAATCTTTTCTTTTGCAAGATAAAATGGTTTGTTGCGATGTTACATGTCATACTACTTAAAATAAATGTAAATAGTATTGCAATTTGTTTGGTAAAAATTTTAAGCCCCCCCCCCCCCTTAAAATTTTTTTTCTCTCTTAGATTATAATTACTAGGAAATAACATTTATTTTTAACAAATATTTTATCCCCTCTCTCCTTTAAAAGAACTATAGGCCCCCCTAATATCAAAATTGTGGTTACGGCTCTGTAATATGTGCGTGTTTACTCACATATAGATATACTTTTTTTTATTTGTGATTTTATTTATACTTTTTTATTACATTGTGATTTTGATTCCTGTATCATGTTGCATTTTGTGGAACTTCTTGGGTTGTATAAATTTAAACAATTTGATTGGTGGACATATTAAATACATAAATCTAGTGATTTGGATCTCATCTGTTTTAAATTTAAATAATCAATTAAAATATAAATTCCTAAATGCTCAAAAACATGTTTTTTTGCTTATTATGTTAATTAACCAGTGTGCATTTAACTAACCAGCATGCATTAAAATATGAAATTGTAAATACAAGTGTATATAATTGTTACATGTCCAAAGATTGTTTAATTTATCTTTAAATTTATATTTTTAAATTTATATTTAAATTATATTTTTGGGAAAAAATCAAAAAGATAGTTTGTTTTAATTTTAATTAAATTAATAATAAGGCTTTTTGGTGGCTTAAATAAAAACATAATTTAACTAGCTTTAAAAATGAAACTTTTTAAATTTATTTTGAAAAATTTAAATTTTTATTGTCAATTGGTTAACAGTCTTACAAACAAGTCTAACAACTTACAGTCTAACTGACAGTAACAAAACTATTATGGTCATTTGATGTCTTTGCAACTAAATAAAAACTGGCAACAACAAAACTATTATGGTGGTTTGATATCTTAAATACTAAATAAAAACTGACGAATAAAAACTTAAATACTAAATAAAAACTTAAATACTAAATAAAAACTTAAATCAACTAAATAAAAACTGATGATAACAAAACTATTATGGTGGTTTGATATCTTTGCAACTAAATAAAAACTGACGACAACAAAACTATTATGGTAGTTTGATATCTTTGCAACTAAATATTATTAAAGTATTCAAATTTTTTAAAAATGAATAAATTTAATTAAAATATGTCATTAATATAATATATGTAAATAATATCTATAAAAGCATTGATTTATTTAAAAACAATTTTAATTACAGGTGGAATTTATGGTGCAATATATGGTGCAATATTTCCGCCAGCAGGAAATGTTAATGGATTTTTTTACAGTCTACGTCAAATTGGAGCTGCTGGCTTAGTAACTGGTTTGAATATTATATTTTATATTTTTAATTAGTTTTTAAACAATTTTTCAATCATTCCATGTGAATAACACATGAATACCATATACACTCGTATAATAACACTCATTACATTTATCACTGAAAAACATTTTAATTAAAGCTTAGTTGCAGAAACTGACTTTTTCTGGATGAGGGAAGGGGGGGGGTATTTATAGTTTTTTTATTAGGTGTGTCCAGACTATCTAGTAAAGGGGAGGGAAGCATTTTTTAGTTTTTTTAGGCAATTGCTCCCATTGCCTTAACTATGGATCCATTTCCGATTCCAAAATCATCATAATAACTAAATAATATAAAATGATAATTAATTAAAAAAAAATCTATTATAAATATTACAAAATTTAATATATTTCTCATCAGAAATTTTTTATAAAAAATAATAGTTTTAATCATGGTTTACAATATAACAGGCCTTGCCAATGCATGGCTAGCGTAAAAAAATGAAGACAAGTTTAAAGTATTACTACTTTGTAGCAACAAACATGTTCAGTTTAATGATTTTTGCAGGAATATCATATTTGTATGACATACCTTTTATTATTTATACCTTTTATGAGTAATTTATAAAAGTCAAAAGATAAGTTTAATAGTTCTTTTTTTTTAAAACAAGCTAAAATATCTTTTAATTTCATCTTTAATGTATATAAAAATATTGCACACATTTTAGTTTGTACTGAGTTTAATTAACTTTGGTTTGTTTTGGCTTATTTAAACTAAATGAATAGAGATCACAGTAGTTATTAAACAAAACAATTGTCATTGTTAATTCATGATTTCTTTCTGCCCTTAATTAATTGTATTCTGATTTCATCATAAGAAGTTTACATAACAATGACCAATAAGTGTTGTTATATACTTGATAAAAAAAAAAGTAGTAGTAAGTTGCCTGTTGACAAAATTTTTCACCAAGAATAGTTAAATCTCCTTGATTTATATCCTTTACAAAATTGCTGTATGTTTCATTGAAATAAAAAGTAATGTCTGAGTTTTTAACTTTACAAATAATATAAGCAGAAGCAATAGCATATCAAATCTTTCAAACAAATGTGTTCATAATGGCTGTGAACATTACAATTTTTCTAAAATCCAATGACTTTTGAGATTAAAAAATTTCAACCCCCCTCCCTCCTATTTTGTTGACAATTAATGTACAGCCCCTGAACTTTATCAAAAAAAATCTTTTTTGTTTTAATTATGTTATCTTGAGAATTATTTGAGATTTTGACCACGTCCCTGGTAGTACTGTAATCAATTTATTTCTCAGCGTAGCGACTGTTTGTCAAGGTTTGTGTCTCAAGAGTGGGTTTCAAGAAAAGGTTGTAACCACAATAAAATAGTCTCCTCAAATGTAGTGGCCTTCTCAGCCTTAAGGAGGATAATAGTATTACCAAAAAAAAAAAAAAAATTAATTGGCTTTATGCAATCAAATACTGATGGAGCATCACATGGTTTCAGCTAATCGCTAAAGTGTGACCAATGTTTTTCACAAACTACTGTGTTATTAGTATCAGGAATATTCTTTCAATATTGGCTATAATATTAATCCAACTTTTTTGTTCTTCAATGTTTTTTGGGAGGTGCAATGCTTTAACTTTATTTTGATGTTGTATAACAAATCGCCATTACAATTTGTTATGCAACATTGATGAATTATTGCTGAAATATCTCCAGTTGCACCTTAGAAAGGTTTTAATATAGCCATGGTTCTAACTTAATAGTTTCAACTTTTATTAAAAAAATTTTTTTTTTAGCATTTTTGAAGTGTTTAAAATTATCAGATCTTCTTTGCACAAAGTTTTAATTAGTTTTTCAATAATTTTTCAAATAAATTAAAATGCTACATTAAGGTAAAATCTTTTACTTTTTATTAGTTAAACAATTTTTATTAAATACTAAACTATTACTAAAAGCCACCATTAAATTGAAGATTAAAAGCAAATTTGAAACTAGAGCTTTTGAAAAAAATGTGGTTTTAAACACTCTCTTTACAGTCTTAAAATTATATTTATCTATCTGTTTATTTGTTATTTTAAGTAAAAAGTTATCTTCATAATTTTGTTAGTATCATATGTTTTCCAAAAGCAACTTCCAAAATAAACATTTTAATCGTAAATTTATATCTTATACTGCTTAGCTTAGTTATTATTTATTAATTATTCAAATAACTGTATTATAATAAATATTTTAACAATCACAAATTGCAGCAAATGATAAGCATATATTATAATTTCAATAATATTGTAATTAGGTTTTTGGTTGATAAAATGTTTTGTTAATATATCAGTATTTATTTTTTAGGTACAGCTGGACTTGTTTTAGGAGCTGGAGTTCCAATTGTGCAAGCTATTCGTAAAAAAGATGATCCCATTGCATGGGGTATAGCTGGATTAGCTTCTGGGTCTGTTTTTGGACTAAGAAGTAAGTTTAATAAATTAAATTTAATATATACAGTTTAAGATAAGTATAAATGTGAGTCAGATTAAAATCAGAATTATTTCATGACGCCTACATTTAATGCATAAAATTCAAATTGTTATTATTTTAAACAAAGTTTTGTTTTGTGGAAATGTTTTTGGAATATTTTGAGCTATAAACAATTAAATTTGTTTTTGCAAGTATTTCTAAAAATAAAATGTTATCATGAATAAAATTAAATTACAATTAATGATACAATTATTGGTATCATTACAGGGCGCAACAAATTAATGAACGTGCAAGCATTTGTTAAAAAAAAAGACAGAAAAAAAGCCCCCGCTAATACTATGGCTGGCGCTTTTTTAAGCGTTCGACGAAAAATTTCAAGTGTGTTTTTAAATTGCAACAAATCTTTTTTCTTAATTAAATCTAATTAAAGAGGTTTTTTAAAAATAGCGCACGTCAAACAAATAATTACTGTCCGACCAGTGCTTTTTCATGCGCTGGCGGTAAATGTGGTCCGGACAACATACCTGTTGTGGCTTGTGGTCCGGACAACATACCCAAGCTCTCGTCTATCCTTTCAAAACTATTCAACAATTGCTTATAAGAGTCTTGTTTTTTAGCCTTTTGGAAAGCAGCATCTGTTATTCCTATTTTTAAAAATTTTGGAGAGCACTCTTCTTATTTTGTAACCTCAGGGGTTCCTCAAGGTTCAATCCTTGGACCTATACTCTTTTTAATTTACATTAACGATCTTCCAGATATTCTTATATCTAAGGTGGCATTGTTCGCTGATGATACTAGCATTTATTCTTGTCATAAAAAACTCTCTCTCTGATTGTTTGGGGGGGGGGGGGCATTTGAGCTTGAAAAGGATCTTACTTCTGCTACAGCATGGGGCTCACAGTGGCTGTTTAACTTTAATTCAGATAAAACTCACTTTTTTTCAGCCAATCATTATTGAAGTAATTTAGACCTTCCTATATTTATGAACGGTTATGTACTCGATGAGTCATCTACCTTTTGTCTTCTAGGATTAACTATTACTTTTGATCTTTCTTGGAAACCATACATCAAATCTGTTCCAAAATTAGCATCTGCTAAATTTGCATCTCTTTATCGAGCTCGACACTTTCTTAAACTGGATTCTATTTTCTATCTCTATAAATCTCAAATCCGACCTTGTATGGAATACTGTTGACATATCTGGGTGGATCTTCTGGTGATGCCCTTTCTCTTTTAGACATGGTGCAAAAATGCATTGTTAACATAGTTGGACCTGCTCTTGCAGCCAACCTTCAACCATTATCACATAGTCGTAATGTTGCTTCTCTTTCTCTTTTCTACAAATACTATAATGGGCACTGCTCTAAAGAGTTAGTGTCTCATGTGCCATCTACTAAAATTCATTCTCGTGTTACTCATTATTCAAATAAGTCTCATCCCTTTTCTATTACTGTTCGTAAGTGCTCCAAAAACTCTTATTCGTCTAGTTTTTTTCCTTGAATATCAGTTCTTTGGAATTCGCTTCCTTTATCTTGCTTTCCGGATTCATATAATTTGCAATTTTATAAGTCGTTTGTCAATCGTTATCTTGCTCTACAATCTTCATCTTTTCTCTTCCAGTAACTTCCAACACTAATTGTGGTTGCCTGCAGCCTTGTTGGAAGCGAAGATGTTTGAAAAAAAATTTCAAACAGAAAAGACTGATACTAATGATAAAAAACAATTGGTTACTTGAATTTAAAATGTATTTTTAACGATTTACAAGAAACTATGCTATAACATGATTAATTTCTTCCATAGAGTTATTTTTAAGTTAAATGACTAGGCACGCAAATAATAATGTTTTATCATAGTTTTTACATGCGTTTACAAAAGTATCCAAAATTTCAGTTAAAATTAATTCATTTGTATTTGCTTGCTAAAACATTGCTTTCTTTAACTTTTTTATAACAGCTTGTAAAAGCACTGTGAAAATTACCAACTTTGTTTAATGTAAGATTAATATCATAAAAAATAAATTGTTTATACATGTTTAGACATTGCAGCTATCTAATTGTTATATTAAAGCAGATAAAAAGAGCAAACAAATCTGTTAAAAAAAAAAGATAAAAGAAAGCTAAAAAAATAAATAAATAGAGAATGTGTTGCATTGGAGACCCAAGTCAAAGAATTATTATCATTTTAAATCTAAATAAAGCTTACTGAGATATATCACTAACAGAAAACACTGTTGAAGCAAGAAAATAAAATCCAATATTAAAACAAGTCATCTAAATAATCCATTTAAAACCAGTTAAAAGAGAAACTTGAAAAGAAACTCCGCTAAAGAAAAAATCCTCAATAGGGTTGACAAATCAAGTATTATACACTCAAGTAAAAAAAAGCACCTGCAGAAGAAGCTGGAATTCTTGGGTCAAATTGTTTTTGTAGTGGTATTAAATGTATTGAAATAAAATTCACCAAAAGCATAAAATCAATATTCTTCTAGCACGTCAATGCTTTGGAACTCTACAATTTACAGTTTTTAAAATTTTTTATCAAATTTTTTTTTTCCTTCTTAAACAACTCTTAATTTTCTGAATCTTAAGAAACTTTTAATACTAAAATATTTTCAACAAGAAACTTATTTTGTAAGAATTTTTTACTTACATAATGCATCTAAGTTGAAAAGTTGAAATTACAGCAGAGAACAGCCGTTTAAATAACTAATAAATAATTTGCACATGCAATCAAATGGGATCCCATTTGGTTGTGCATTTGTTGAGATGCAATTCCATTTGATCACATATGAAATATGTAACAAACATAAGAAACTCTTATGGAACTAACTACTAGGTTCCAGTATTTTATTATTATAATATATTTTTGCATTATATTCATTACATTAAATAATATATTAATATTAATTACATTAAATTTTTGTTTTTATTAATATTTTATTATTACTATTTAAAGTATTTTAATAATTTTTTATCTGTATAGTACTAAATTATTTTATTTGTCTACATAGAAAAAAAACATAAATTAACAAACTTTCTAGTACTAGCCCATTTTTTTAATTTCTCATGTCGAAAAACATGTGTTTCATATAAAAGAACATTAACAAAAGTTCATTTGATTTATAGTATTCTAACCAAAATGCATTAAACATGTCTTTTATGAAACATTTAAAATGTCCAATAATGTCAAGTTTTGTTTTTTTTAGAAAAAAATTTCTTTGAACAGAAATAAAATAGTTTGTTATTTTTTATATAATTTTCATTCTAACATTTGCAATCGCTGGTTTAATTTTGCAATAGAATGTTTCTACTTTTAAAACTATTTTCAAAAAAGAAAATATAATTAAAAATTTAAAACGTTTACGATTTATATAAAACTTTTTTCCTCACATGCACTATGTTCTAAATCTGATATTGTTACAGTAGCTAGATATACGTTTAACTTTCAGAAATGGTTTTTGCTATGCTAAGTATTACGTATGTTGCTGAATTAAATTTATAATTGTTGAACGTTAAAATTCTTTTAAATTTTTTCAATTTTTTTTTCAATTTTAATTTTCATTAACAAAAAAGTTTATATAAAAGAATTTCAGTGACTAAAATTCTTTTGATTAAATAGATTTCTTTTTAAATAAAATTCCTAAATTTTATAGATTTTTTATGAAATATAAAAAAATGATATCAGGTTTTTTATATTCTGTTCAACATTTCTTCTTAAAATAATTTTTAGTTGAAAGCTTACATTATGTGCTAACTACATATAATATATAAACAGAAACATAACTTAGCTGGTTGTTTTGATTTAGTTTAAAGGTAAATTTACTGCTTCCATTCAGTAATTCAAACTAAATATAAATTTAAAATAGTACTAAATTACTTTAAATCTCTGCTTCCACGCAGAGATTTAAAGTAATTTTAAATTCAAAAGTGCTTTATGTTGAATAAAATTTCTGCTCTAGAGAGCAAAGATTATACCTCTATTCAAAAGATAAATTGAGCATGATGTACTGTATGACCCATAATAAAAAACTTAGACTCAAGCATTACTTTTAAGAATAACCAAAAAAAAAGCTAAATTAGAAAAGGAAAAGAAATTAAAAAGAAACAACTGCAAAAATATTTTTTTTAAGAAAAAACTAATGGGATAGGTGTCAAAAGCAATTACGATATTTTTTTCAAATGAAAAAAAAAAAAAATATATATATATATATATGTATATATATATATATATATATATATATATATATATATATATATATATATATAAATATATATATATATATATATATATATATATATATATATATATATATATATATATATATATATATATATAGATATATATATATATATATATATATATATATATATATATATATATATATATATATATATATATATATATATATATATATATATATCAGGCCTTTTTACAAGATTTCGCTGCGTAACGGAAAAGCGAAACATGAATAAATGTAACTTTATTCAATAAAGATATTTACATTGTTAAAAGTTAAATTACGTCAGTTGCGTTTTTACTTCATTGTAGTTAAATTTAAAATGACATTAAAAACTATTGTTAGTCTTTGAAACGAAATAGCTTTAAATTGAACAATGTTGTTATAAAAAATAAATATAGTTTTAATGTTGATTAAAAAAAAGTCTTCTTGTATTAAAATCTTATACTTATTTAAACTTAATTTTTTTGTTTTTAACATTCGTTTTATGGTTGTTTTTATATATATATATATTTTTTAAATAATTTAAATTTAACACTTGTTTATGGTTGATTTTCTTAGAGGGATTTAAATGTACTTACAAAAACGCATCGATTGGGTTTCCCCCTTTAAAAAAAAACATTTGCACTAACTGGTTTTAGTAATATAAATATTGTAAAGAAACGAAATTTACTGCTTTTTCGGCTTTGTTTTTTTTTTATTTCCATTAAATAATTTCATTTTTATGTATAGTGAAACCTAATGTGTTTTTACTATTTTTTTATTCAATCCAAAAAAAAAATAATGTTTTCGGTTTTAAGATGTTATAAGCAGAATTTGTTTTTAACAAATATCATTATAATTTTAAAATTTATGTATCTTATATTTATAGCTCTAGTACTAGTTTAGTTTTTAAAATAAAATAAATATAAGTTGGGCTTTCAAAGAGTTTATTTACTGATCGCGTTATTTTTAATAGATTTGAATTTTGGTTTGTTTTATAAAAAAAATTCTTCGGAAAATGGCAAAGGGAAAACCCAAACATAACATTTATAACTCGAGTTTAAAAGAACTTTTTTGTATTGACGTCATTTATTTTCTTGTAGTTATAAAATGAATAATGCACTTCTGTAAATAATGAATGAAACTGTAAAATAATGGAAAAATAAAAACTGGAAAATAGTGCGCTTTTGTTAAGCGCATTATTCAGACCAGTATTTGGAACTTACCTGAAACTTAACTGAAATTAAAATAAAGTTATATGTAATACGAACATTTTAAAGTAACTTGAATTAAATTTATTAAATCTTTTTTTACTTTGGAAATTTTATCATTAAAAAAACGGAGCATTTTAAAATTAAAAAATTTTAAAATGCTCTGTTTTAAAATTAAATGAAAGAATTTTAATTTAATTTAATAAATTTATTTACTAAAAACTATAATTAATAAAAAAATATTTAAATTTAATAAAATAAATTGAAAATATTTCTTTTTTTAAATTTGAATGTTTTTAAGCTTATGAAATATAAAGCTTAATATTAAATATGATAAAAAGTTTAAACTTAAAACACTTATTTTTTTAAAACTAATTTTCAACAAAAACAACAATAAAAATATTTAAACAAATTTTTCTTTAACAAAAAATCTATTAGTTTACAATTGCGGTTAGAAGTTTTTGCATAACGCAAAACTGCGAGGTCCTTAAGTACAACTAGGGTGGTCCTTAAAACAACTTTTTTTTTAAACGTCTGCTCTCACCCTCCTATATAATAAAATAATACTAGAATTATATAATTTTGAAAAAAAAAATATTTTTGGGGGCAGCCCATGACCCTTAAACATCAGATGGGTCCCTATAATTATAAAAAAAATAGTTCTTCAAAAGTATATCATGTTGGGTCTCAAAAGAAGCGAAATTATATAAAAAATTTCAAAAGTAAACGTTTTATAAAAAACATTAAGAAAAAAAATTTAAATAAATTTTTTTGTCATTTTCTAGACTGAAATTTAAAATAATAATTTTTTTTTATAAAATTATGATTATTTCTAAGTTTTTATATAATTTCGCTTTTTTTGAGACCCAACATGATATACTTTTGAAGAACTATCTTGTTTGTAATTATAGGGACACATCTGATGTTTAAGGGTCTTGGGCTAAAAATATTTTTTTTTTCAAAAATTTTTTAATTCTAGAATTATTTTATTATATAGAACACATCTAGAGGGTCAGAGCAGACGTTTTAAAAGAAGTTATTTTAAGGACCCTAGTATAAATTCAAATGGAAAATATTTGAATATATATATATATATATATATATATATATATATATATATATATATATATATATATATATATATATATATATATATATATATATATATATATATATATATATATATATAAACACCTATAGTATCACTAACAGGGACAGATTTTTTCAAAAAAACAAGTACTTACGTTGTGTATCCATTAACTTTTTGTCCCCGTAAGCATGGTTTTTTTGTAAAAGAAAATGTTTCTGTAAGCAACTTTTATAGAGAGCGAAAAGTACATACATTGACTATCAAATAGCGTGACTCGCAACCGAATTCTGCTACATCGACTGAGGGTTTGGTTAGGGTCAGCATCAAGGTTAGGCTTAAAGTTCGGGTTACAGCAAGATTTGAATATGGTTATATTACTGTATTTATTCGTTTTTGTAAATAGATAAAAAAAAAAAAAAGAAATATAATTTATAATAAATATAACAAAGATAAATATATAAAATATATTTCTATAATAAAATAATAAATTTAGATATGATAAAAATAGTAGAAAAAAAGTAAAAAAAAAAAAAAATGCTATGGGAAGAAAAAAAATGTGTCCCTGTAAACGCTGACTGGGAGTATATATATATATATATATATATATATATATATATATATATATATATATATATATATATATATATATATATATATATATATATATATATATATGCATATAAATAAAAGAAATCTGATAGTTATGTTTGTTACAGGTGGAAGAGTTGCTATAGCCGTGCAAAGTGCATTTCTACTAGGAGTTTCTATGAGTTTGATTAAAGCAGCTGGGACTTATCGTGAACCAGTTATTGATTACACTAAACACTTACGTCAACCACCAAAGCTTTATAAACTAGTAGATGAGAACGGTAACATAAAAACTTCACAGGAATGGTAGCGTAGTATATTTATATATATGTATGTGTGTGTATATATATATATATATATATATATATATATATATATATATATATATATATATATATATATATATATATATTAACAATATTAATTTGTACATGTTTTTAACAAGGATTTATTGTATAGTAATACAACTTTAAAAGCAAGTTTTAATTTTTTTTATAAACCAACTCTACCATTACTTATAATTTGAGAATTTTATTAATATATATATATATATATATATATATATATATATATATATATATATATATATATATATATATATATATATATATATATATATATATATATATTCTATATATATATATATATATATATAATATGTATATATATTATATATATATATATATTCATAACTATTAAGAGTTTTTTGAATTTATTTTAAAACAGCAGTAAGTATTGAAATGTTCCTTTGTATCATAAAAGTAGTAATTATTGTGTGCTTTATTTTAAAGCATTTATATATAATTTTTGCTTTCTTCCTCTTTAAAAATATATATAATTTTTGTTTATTTGTTACTTGCTTACATATAAACATAATATGAACGAACGTAGTTAGTGGTCTACCAATTGATCAAATTATTTTAGATTGATCATTTTACTATACATTGATTAACTTATTAAACATGACATAAAATAAAAAAGTTTGTTATAAAACCTTTTTTTGTTTATATATATTTTTTTAAATAAGAAAGAGTCAGAAAAAACTATTATTCATTATCATACATTCACAAAATTATTTGAAGTAGAGTATAATAATTTTTTTTTAATAAAAGTTTGAAGCGACCATGGCAAGTCCATATTATTTCATTCCTTTGTAAATCTATATAGTGTGTGTGTGTTTGTATGTGTATATATGTGTGTGTGTGTGTGTGTGTGTGTGTGTGTGTGTATATATATATATTTATATTTATATATATAACAATCGCAAATTTTTATGTTAATTATGATTTTAAATTTTTTTTAGTGTACAAAACATTACAAATATGCTGTATGGCTATTTTTATTTTTTAGTTTTCATAAATATTTTTATAATTTTCAATAAATGTTAAACTAACTAGTTGCAATTTGGTGCTACTCTACAAAGTAAAATATGAGTAGGAAAAAAATTAAAGGGTCTGGCTCAATAGATTTAAAATCACAAGGTTCAGATTCAGAGGTAAAATCTCAATTAAAGATAGGACACTATTTGCTTGGTGTCACTCTGGGTGCTGGAACTTTTGGAAAAGTAAAAGGTAACTTTTTTCCTGATTTAAATTTTTAAAATTTAAATTGTCTATTCTAAATTTCTGCTCATTAATTAATTTAGTAAGGTCTGCCTGGTAATAATAAGTTTTCCAGACATAATATACTCTAAAATATCCTATTAAGTTCTGCGCACTTAATATGTTCTACACTATAAGATTTTATTCCTTATATATTTTTTATTGCTAATAATTTATTTAAATGTGTTGTTTTTAATTTTACTTTTAAATTTCTGCAGAAATGTAATTTTTTTAAATTATAGTTGGTAAGCACCATATAACTGGACACAAAGTGGCTATAAAGATTCTTAATAGGCAAAAAATTAAGTCTCTAGATGTTGCTGGCAAAATTCGACGGGAAATACAGTTTCTAAAGTTATTTCGTCACCCACATATAATAAAACTGTAAGTTATATAAGTTTTTATTTTACACTAGATGAAGATTTTAAAAAGGACTTTAAATTTAAATGTTACAAAAATATTACTTCCTAATTTTTGGTATCCAGAAGCTTTAAAATATAAAAAAAGACTCTAAAGCTTATAAAAATATTATTAGGAAAAAAAAAATGTGCATAATGCTTACAGACGACTAATGCGGGGGAAAAAAAAAGGTTTTTAGGTTAGTGAAACAATCAATTTTTGAACCGGGGAATTATACATAATAATGCATGCATGGATTCAGGGCCTCTGGCTTAAAAATGATTAGTTTTAAATCATGAAATTAAGTTAAATTATCTGTTGTAGTATGTAAACTTATGCTTATAAAATTCTTTATATTAAAATACAATATTTCTAGGGGTTATATATACCCTCGTTATTCAAGTAACATAATAAAAACCCGTTAAACAACAAACAAATAATAAAACTTCAATGTAATGTGTTCTTGCGTTTAATGTTCATAGAATATGGTTATAATAAAAAAATACTTCAAAACATTGTTAAAAATAAATAAATAATAATGAGCAAATAATCAACAAAACAACAACAATAACACAAGCTTTCCCAGGAAAGGCATGTGGTTTTTCGTCTTGTATGACCACGCGTGAGTATAAAGCAAAAATATAAATTGTCATCTGTTTGTAAAATATATTTGTATAATTTTAATGTAACAAGGTTATAACCAGGGGTGAATCTAGCGATCGCAATTTGCAAAGCCTCGAAAAATATCTGATCTTCAAAGTTTTTGTTTATGCAAAGCTGTGTACTTTGTTTTCAAGGAGCAAATTATTATAATTTTGTTAGAGAGAAAAATATAAAAGCAAAGCAAATAATAAACTTATGACTACAAAAGTAATAATACTCTTGTCACTAACTACATTATGAAAGTAATAAAACTATAATAGTATTATTACTTTTATAAAACACATTACTTTTAAAGTTAATTCCTTGTTCAAACAACATTAGTAATTCCAAACAATAATTAAAGTAGAAAAGCATCTAGAAAAAATAAAGCGGATATTCAAATATTAAAAGCTTGAGGAATTTTTACAAATCACTTAAACAACTTTATAAAAACGCACTTAATAAAAAGTTAAGCATTATGAAAAACGTCACTAATAGTCCGTATAAAGGCGCGTTTAAATCTAAAATCAACTAATAAAAATTTTTAATGGTTGATTTAAAAATTATCGCGCGTTTTTACGTATAATTAGTAACGTTTTTAATAATGCTAAACTTTTTATACATTACGTTTGAATAAAGTTACGTTTACGTTTTTATAAGTTACTTAATTTTTAAATATTATTTGGATATCCACTATATTTTTCTAGATTCTTTTCTGCTTCAATTAAAATTTGGGAGAACATATCTTATTTAAGCAAAGAATGAATTATAAAAGTTATAAGTGTGTTATAAAAGTAATAACACTATTATACTGTTACAACTTTTAGAATGCAGTTAGTCACTAGAGTGTTATTACTTTTGTATTCGTAAGTTTATTGTTTTATTTTATATAACTTTTTTGCTAACAAATTAAAGTTGATTTGCCCTTTGAAAACAAAGAACATGTTTTTGTATAAACTAAAATTTTTAAGACCAAATACTTTTCCAGATTTTGCATTTCATGATCGCTTAATTCAACTCTTGTTGTTATATGCGGTAGTGGCGTAGTGGTAAAAGACTCACTTCATAAGTGAGAGGTTCCGAGTTCGATCCCCACCACGTCCCTGGTAGTACCGCGCTCAACTTGTTTCTCTGCTCAGCGGCCTTGTTCGTCAAGGTTCGTGTTTCGGAGTTTTAGAGTTGAGAGAGAATTATAGCTACTATTAAGTAGTCTCCTCGTCTGTAGTGGCTTTCTTGGCCTTGAGGAGGTGAATAACAAAAATATATATATATATATATATATATATATAATATATATAAATATATTTTACAAATACATTGCAATTTATATTTTTGCTTTCATCTTTAAAAAAAGTTAAATAAAGGAATATCATTCTTTCTATTGTAGACTTAAAACCTTTTTTTTTTACTTCGCCTTGTCTAATTTTATTGCTAAATTTAGCAACCACTCTAAAGAAACAATAAAAACAGTACATAAATTAGTAATTTATTTTTTTCTATTTAAATTTATTTTTATTTCCTATTTTGTTAGTTTTGCTTTTTTTGTTTTTAAAACTTTTTCCGCCATGGTTAATATTATAAAACTTGCAAATGGCCGTGATCAAGTGTTTTTTTTATATTACTTGAATAACGAGGGTATATATAACCCCTAGAAATATTGTATTTTAATATAAAGACTTTTATAAAGATAGATACATACCAGGGCTCGAATTAATGCAAAAAAAATCTAATCGCGAAAATAAAAAAAAATTTCAACCCCAAAACCCTTCCCCCCCTCCCCCTATACCTTGCGCTTCTTTGCGGTAATGGGGGGGGGGAGGGAAGTTGCGTTAGTATATAATTGTAACTTTTGTACGTAATTGTTCTACTTTTAATATATATTATCTCTCATCATATGATCTTATAATTTTCTTGTTCGGCAGAGTTTAAAATAGCGTAAGTTACTGTTATTATTTACAACTTAAGTTATAACTTAAAGTTTAAGTTGCAATTGTAATAAGCAATAACGTTTTTAATACTATTTAGATATTTCTTTAAGTATATATTTTACTTAAAATGATACTTAAAGTAAAAGTAAAGAAGTAAGAGAAAAAGCAACATTGCAATATCTAAACCACTTTAATTAGTCAAAGAAAACTATTTAATACATTTGTGCTGATGTTAAAACATGTGTTAATTTTAAAAAGTATTTAATTGTTAAAAGCTATAAAACAGCATTAAAACAAATTGCAATATTATTTTAAAAACATAAAGAGCTTGGGTTAATGTAAAACAAATTTGTGGTGCTGTTTCGTGTTGATTTATACAATTTATAAAATAAAACGCGTTCAAAATAAAAGGAAACAAATAAATAAAATTGACCTAGTTAATAAACTAAAACAAAACTTCATATTTGCACCTATAGACCTATATGAGCTTATAATATATGGACCAAACGAGTAAGATCAAAGCATAAAAACATTAGATACCACATCTTTTGTAAATTATCGTTTCCTGATTAAGTGTACCATTAAAAATTTAAGTTTTTCATTCAAATGGTTTTTAAACTGATGTTTTTATTCAATTTTTTTTTATTCTAATTGTTTTCCAAAAAAAAGTGAAACAAAAAATTTTGTTTAATAAATCGAATTATATTAAGTATAAGAATATGCTAAAATTATTTTTTTAGAAAAAATTTTTTTCGAACAGAAGTAAAATAATTTATTAAATTTAATTTCAATTTTTTATAATTTTTTTTTAACTTGCAATTTGCTATCTCTGCTTTGATGTTTGCAATAGAATGTTTCTACTTTTAAAACTATTTTCAAGAAAAAATATATAATTCAAAACGTTAAAAAAATTTACGATTTAAGAAAAAAAAACTTTCTTCTTTTCTCCCTTGTTTCATCAAACTTTTTTTAAATGTTAAATTTTTTTTTTAATTTCAAATTTCAATCACAAAATTATTTGAATAAGTAAATTTTAAGGCTAAAATTCTTTTGTTAAATTGATTTCTTTTTAAATAAAATTCCTGAAAACAATTGCGTATTTATAGAAAATGTTTAGTCTAGATGTTGCTATAAATAAAAATGAAAATATAAAAAAATGGTGTCGCATTTTTCATATTCTATTCAACAATTTTTGTTAAAATAGTAATTAAAAGCTTATATTATGTGTTAACAACATGTAAGATCTAAATTGAAACATGTCTCTGGCTAACTTTTGCGAGTATATTCAATAAATTAATATAATTGTTAAATTAATATTTGAGTAACTGTAAGTTACTATCTTAACTTAACTGGTTGTTTTGATTTAGGTTATAAGTTAATTTACTGTGATATACTCTATCCCATTCAGTAAAGTTAACTAAATGTAACTTCAATAGTTTCAAGGTCGTTAAAGCGAAAAACGTGAAAGCAAAAAAGTTGCTGGTTTCTTTTAGCACAATTTTACTAATAGAAATTTTATTTAATAAAAAAAAACTTATATATATTTTATTATACTTAAAGTAGTAAAAATAATTATATAAAATTGTTTATAAAATAATAATTTAAATCATTATTATTAAGTTAATTTGGAGCAACGTTTCTTTTAAAAAAAGATAAAAATGCTGTTTTGTTTAAAAAATAGAATGAAGAAAAAATTATTTTTAACTTTTGGCTTTTTAATTTGTTTCTACATAGAGATTTAAAGTAGTTTAAATTAAAAAGTGCTTAACAAATAAAAATCTCAGCGCGAAAGAGCAAATGCTTCTATTCAAAAACAAATGATCATACTTCTATTCAAAAGACAAACTTTGCGTGACGTACTTTACTAGGAAAACATTACTTTTAAGAATATTATGCCAAAAAAAAAAAAAGCTAAATTAGAAAAATAGTAAATAAACAACTGAAAAAGTAAATCAATTGCGAAAATATAAAAAGCGAAAATGTAAAAAGCGAAAATGTAAAAAGCAATCACGAAAAATTAAAAAAAAAATTTATTTAAGAAAAATTAGATCAAAGTTCAGTTTTTCATTGTGTCATAGACATCTGAGAACTAAAATGAACTTCATAAACTGAAATGCAGCAAAAAGGTTTTATTATAATCAAAATTTAGAAAAAGAAAAAGTTTTAAGCTTGTGCATAAATTAAATCATTTAAAGAGGTTTGTTCACCTCTACGGTGAACAAACCATTCATTTTTATCTTTTAAAAATTCTAAATCATGAAATCTTATGAATTTTTTTCTTATAGCAGATCATAAGTTAACCAACAGTTTAGAGCTTCTGGAGACCAGAAAAAAATAGAGATATAACGCCAAAGTCCTTTTGGGATTCTGCAACCCTGTACACTGTGGTTTTATATTATCTGGCATGTACGGTTT